TGATGATCACGTCCAGCTTGAATTGATCTATCAAGAAGCTTAGAGAAAACAAAAGGTAAGAAAAGAAAACTGCCGTTGCGAAACTGTCGGTTGAAGAAACGCTACACAGTCACCCATTTTCTGAGGAATTAAGCAAGCATTATCAGTCATCGTCAAGCGGTCCGTTAACTGTCGCAGTCATCCATTTCAGCTTCTCTACACCTCGTCGACCGGAACCACACATCACAAGAACAGGATCAATCGACCAGCGGACAAACCTTCTGTGAGTCCGTTCTTTGTACCGTTTATTTCATTATCATTCGTATATGTAGTATCTTTTCCACTACACGGTAACACCCTTGAGACCATTTCTCAACCTCACTCCGCTGACCCTCATTTCGGCGACTTGTTCAAATCCACCTCACCACGGAGTGCACAAATCCCGCTTCCACATTCACCATCCACCATTTTCTGTGACAATGCCTCTAAACTCCCTCAAACCATTTTACCGCCTAGCATGTGGCTATCCATTGTTACTCATGGTCAGTCATTACGGAACCCCAGTGTTTTTTCTACTTCACGTTCGATTGTTTATCATTACGTTTCACCCAGCATGAAAGAAGCCATCCGACATTAGGCGAAATCTTGTTGACAGCGTCAGTGCACTAAGATTCTCTTACGCACTGTTTCCTTCCCAGCTGACTTACCTGGTACAGGCACTCGGTTTTGACATGTTGACCTTGTTGCCCCACTTCCCACTTCAAATGGTAACAATTATCTGTTTACATATCTCGACTGTATTACACGTTGGCTGGTGGTCTTTTCTCTGGCTGAAGTTTCCCCTCAGTCTGTCGTACAATGTTTCCTATCACATTAGATTTTCCATTACGGTGTTTATCACATCGGGAACACTGACAGAGGCACTTTATTCCAATCTAGGCTCCTTCATGATTTCACTTGGCGGCTTGTTGGCGAACAGATTCACACCACTGCTTATCACTCAGCAGCAAACGGCCTAATTGAACGTTTTCACCTACAAATCAAAGCCTCACTTCGCGCTCGCGAAGAGCCTTGATGGACCGAACGTCTTCCACTTATAATTCTGAGCATTCGCTCTCTCAGTAACCAAGACTCTCGATGTACGGCGGCAGATTTGGTTTTCGGAACTACCCTTTGTCAAGCACGTGATTTTCTTCAAACTCCCTTGACGATCCCAGTGTTTCCATTGACGTTCACCGGAAGATTACCAGGCAATATGGTGCATACGAAACCCACTCCAACACGCCATCACACGCGGAGTCCAAAAGTTCCTAATGATTCACACACATGTGGTCACGTTTTGATCTGCTGTGACGCTATACACGTCGCGAAACATCGAACACTCCAAGCACCTTACACCGGACCGTACAGAGTGATTTTTCGTTCGGAGAAAGTTTTTGTTCTGAATAGCAAGGAACCGCACGATTCAGCAATCATCCATTAGTTAAAACCCGCATATCTCGACCCATGATTCTATTTACCCACCACACTAGCTCTCTGCATTGTTCTTTTATCCGTTATCTCAGACATTTCACTTAAACTCAGTCACCCGAAAGATACAACACACCTGTCCCACCATCCCAACTTCTAAACACGCATTTACACTTCCAGATATTCCGCATACGACATATACTGGTAGAAAAGTGCGTTTTCTTTGTTTTATTTAACTATTCAATTTTTCTTTTGCATTATCGAGTATACAGTTTGCAATTTTATTCTAGAAGAACTGTGGTACTGTGGGCGCTGTGGTGTCTCACTTTTATGATATTACTGTACAGCTTGTTTTAACACGCAGAATATTTAACATCACAATACAGAACTTTGTTCATGACTACCTATGTGTTCTCCAAATGTTGCTGATGCAACAAATCGGTCTTTTGGGGCCACCTTGATTTCAAACTCAATGCACTTACGGGAGAAGTGCTTCACAGCGGAAAGTAAATGTCGATTCGCTGAAAAACCATTCAACAAGAGTGTCAGGTATCATAAACGGATGAGAAAAAAATGCAAAAAAATGAAAACCGATACAAAGGCGTTGAATAGAGAAAAAACTCAGTTATAAGGCGGTAGTCACTTCTGGGGTGGGTGTCGTTTCACGGAATGGAAACATGAAATTATATTTAGTGTTTTCATTAAATGGCTCAGCTTTAAAATGTCTGAAGTTTTACATATCTGTTTCTCATGTTTATGATTTGTGAGCACTTTTGCAACGCGATACCTACTCGATCTTAGATAATTTTTCCGTATTTAACTCTTATCGATTTTTAGTACAAAACTCTTGAAACGGTACTTGTCTTGTTTTCCTCGCTTTTTCTCTCAATGATTCATTCATTCCCCTGCGTTTCATGTCAGATCTTAACATGATAAATGAGATTAAAAATTACCGAAGTACATGATTTTCACCAAGCACTGGTGATTTTGACAGCAAGGCAGGTTCTGTTAGGATTCACGCATGCGAATTTTATAGTTATTGAGATATACTTTTAAGACCACGTCAAAGGCTAATGAAGGTGACATATGATGACCAATTACGTTCGGGCAATTAAAGCCTAACATAACCGTCAACACACTTATCTATGACAAAAACTGGGCGCAGAACGAAGCACTGTTTTTCAAATGGACCACCGGCAGAGTTAAACAAAGTTGAGACTGTATACTTAAGAGAATTCCCCAATAGAAATAGTTAGTTTGAACCTTTCACCGATTACCCTAACAATTTTGAATGAGTTGAAATACATTGTGCATTCCCATGTTGAGGTCCATTGTGCACGCCTCCATACTCTGCTTGCTTCTACTTCCCGTATTCAACCACCGTTACTAAAAACGTAGAATCAGTTAACTGTTAGTGCCCTTCAATCTTGAAGCCTTCAGCATCGAAAGCGCAACTCTTTAGCGTCACAACAAACTCATTTGCTACATCAGGTAAACCTGTTTGGACAGCTCTTCCAGAACCAGTCAACTCAAGAATCTATACTATGATTCGATGATTGGTAGGTGGGTTAGATGCTGTCGAAAAAAATTTACCCGGTGTTGCAAATGAGGTTATTGTGACCAAAATGCATTTACTGGGTTGAAGGACCGATTTAGCAAACTGTCGAAGCGTTACGAGACACAAGTGGCCCGTAGACGCAAGAACCTGGACTATTATACTGGCTCAAGCCGCAAGTCCTGTGAACTGTCCTGTCCTGAAGTGTATGAATGGAAACATACAAGAATACCGGATACGCATTCCTGACGAGTGGCAGGAACCAAAAAATTGGTTTTGTGCTTCCAGGGAAATTTTGTTCAGTCATCCATGTACTGCTTGTTTTATTTTATATATATATAACCATTTTTTCGGTTCCAGCCGCTCGTCAGGAATGCGTATCCGGTATACTTGCATGTCTCTACTTTCATCGAAAGTATAACAGAGATTGAACGGTGGTAGCTGTCCCGATTTCATACAAATAGAAGTTACCTACCGCAGATAGATATGCTTTGGAAGAAGCTTATGTTCACCAATTGTGTCCTACGCATTATCGTCTGATTAACTTCGATGAAAGGTGCAAATTTGAAATGATAGGATCGCATGAGATCAACGACTGAACTATCTGCTATAGCAGATTTACTTAGTTGTGTTCCAGAGGGCTGTAGAGACTCTCGGTTAGGATCAGGTGACATATTCAAGTCAAAAAATGAAACTTTGTTATAGTGAATTGGGATGAGTGTGCTCATTTTCGCCTGTTCGCTTAGTTCGGTAGTTCATTTGCAGACGTTTCACCACCACGCGAGGTGACAGCCCTGAAACTGGTGATGACACGTTTGTAAGCAAATTACCAAGCTATGCAAACGAGTAAAAAGAAAGGTCCACATGCATTGCTGAAAATTCACGATATCACACAAGGCAGGCAATTAGCTAATCAAATTGAGTCATACTGATGTCTCGTAGACTGTACCCAGATGGTCTGAGAGTAAGATGAATCTCTTTAACCAACAAGAGCTATTGAAAAATTAAAACTATTCCATTTATCTGTGCGAAATTTGGCCGAGAATCTTTGTCTATTACAAATCAAGGGGCATGTTAGTTCAGTTAACGATGCTAACCTTATTTTGTGATCTTCCATAAGCACAGAGATGCGCCATTTTCTTGTCTGTATTGTGTGCTATTCCTGTTAAGGAACCTTTTTTGCATTGAATAATACTTCAAATCGTTTCAAATATTATTTTTTGACGGCATAATCACAATGATTAAACATTTGACGCATTAAGCTAGCACTGGTCACCTGTGGTTTGCATACTTATGGCACGAAAAGGAGATTAAACCTCATCGGATGAAGACGATCATCTTTGTTTAGTTAAAAATACTCAAAGAAGAATGAAGGAGTTAAAATCAGGAAAGTTTATTAGTTTTGGGGTTCACATTTCAAAAACATCTGTAGAATAATAACAATAGATTGTATTTCAAGGGCGATCTGTGGATTTCGAATGGTCGTACCAGGTGCTCATTTCGCTGTTAAACGAGTTCACTGCCTGATCGAAGGGGTCCAAATGAGCTGCTAACGGGGATGTATGAAAAGGAAGCCCTACGGTTTCGATTGTTGGATTTGGGTTAGATGGGGGGAAGCGGGGCCGTGGACCGCGATGGGTCACATGACTGAAATGCGAATGCGGTTCCATTGGCAACGGTTGCTGTTCACCTGTTTCTGTGACACCTTCCGATATCTGTACAGTACATAAAGAATTATAGTGAAATGGGAAAGTGTGTATTTTCCAGTATCAGGGTGAGTGTGAGGGAAAAGTGAAAATTAAAAAAACAATTATTGACATTTGGAAGTACGCTCGTACAGCATACAGATATGTTGAATAATGAGGAAACAATTCATTTGCATTGCAACGCTAGATTCTGCAGAAAAAAGGTAAGGATTTTGGTGTAATGTAGTTTACGGCTTTATAATATTGAGAAAGTATTTCTCCCACAGCCTTTGTGATAAGTTTCAGTTTGTACAACCACTAACCACGCATATTCGTGCGCCGGTTTTGGTTGCTGTCTTTTGGCTACCCGTTTGGATGAAGAATAGGAGCAGAAAGAAAAGTTGAAAATGCAGTCAAAAGAAAATGGGAACGTTCAGTGGTCTAAGGTTGCAAAGAAATTGAGAAGATGCACGAACACCCAGCCATATTATTCAGTGTGTCTGACCATCGGTTACGATCATCCCGAGGTCCCCAGCCAGGGAGCCTAACAGGACCTATGTGACCTTCGGTTACGATCATCCCGAGGTCCCCAGCCAGGGAGCCTAACAGGACCTATGTGACCCAGTTACCTGCTTAGGGTTTTCATAGCACGAGCGCCACTGTTTGCGACACCCAGCCATATCAATCAGTGTCTCTAACCATCGGTGACCACTGTTTGCGACACCCAGCCATATCACTCAGTGTAGCTAACCATCGGTGACCATCATCCACCCCAGCCAGGGAGCCTAACAGGACCTATGTGACCCAGTCTCCTGGTTAGGGTTTTCATATCCTCGTGCCAGGTCTTGCCGTGGTAACCTATCTGGTTAACGGTTGTGCATTTTGGTGCTTGACTTAACCTTTTACATACTTATCTAATGGTATCCCAGGATATGGTTGTCAAAAGCTTCCAAATGATATATATCTTAAAACCTCATCTCTGTATAGTGGCACCCAACTTTTATGCTGTTCGGGGAGAAAATTCCAGCGATAAATATGGAGGTTGAGTTTGAAAATCTTTGGCACACTTGTGTCCTTCATGTCGTTTGGAAGCGGAACAGCCTAAGTCTACTCTGGTGAACACATGTTATCAGTACCAGAGTGCCAAACCATCGGCTAACGGATTACTAACGGAACAACATCTACAAAAACTAAGAGAGTTACAACGGAACACGGAAGTTATCATCACAAAACCGGACAAGGGATCTGGTATCGTCTTCCTTTATAAATCAGATTGTGCCAGGAAAGTCGTGACGATTCAAAATGATGAATCGAAGTTTACAAAAATGGCCCACTTGAGTGACAAGACGACCCGAATAGAGAAGGCCCTTTCCAAAACATTACGAAAACTTAAACAAAGGGCTGTATAAACCGCCATTTTTGAACGGATTCGTCCAACAGGGACTACGGTTCCACGATTGTATGGGCTGCCCAAAGTACATAGGAGTGGAGCTCCCCTCAGGCCAATCCTGGACATCTGCAACTCTCCTTACCATGCGGTAGCCAAATGGTTGGCTCGTATTCCGGAACCGGTGAGGCTGGCGTTAACCCAGCATAGCCTTATTGTGATACAACCGGTCTCCTTGACACCTTGAGTGGTTTCAACATCAAAGATCGCCATCTGTTTTCACTAGATGTCACATCTCTGTTCACGAATGTTCCGATCAGCGAAACAATTGATTATTTATGTATTTATATCGAAAGTAACGTGATTGACGTATGCTCCCCGACAGATGACCTAAAAAAATTGTTATTCTTCTGCACTCACAATATACAATTCACGTTCAATAAGGAAATCTATCGCCAGAGGGACCGTGCAGCAATGGGATCCCCGCTAGGGCCCTCGTTGGCCGATGTCGTCAAGTCTAAATAGAAAACGGTCCACTTAAAATACATATCGAACAATGCGTACTGTACAAACATTACGTAGCAGATATTTTGTGTGTGATCGATTCTACAACGGAGTGACAACATATAATAGATCATTTCACTTCTGCGTATCGGGAATTAAAATTCACAATTGAAAATGAAGCAAACAATCAACTAGCATGTTTAGATGTTTGCCTAACTCGTTGTGATAACGGACCCATCAGGCGGGCAGTACACAGAAAGGTGACTTGGAATGGGCAGTACATTCGTTTCTGTAGCTTTGTATTACTCAATAAGAAGAAGAATCTCATGCTCTGTTTGGTCAATAGAGCTAGAAGAATCTGCACGAAGGACATGCTGGTTGAAGAACTGCAGAATGTGCTGAATATCTTTATCCAGAAAGGATACCCGGAGCGCTTAGTGAACTCTGTGATGCAGTGGCAAGAGGCGTTTCCCAAGGTAATTGGTGAGAAAAAGTCTGTGTACATTGCGTTACCATTTGAGGCAACACCTTGGCAGAGATTGTGCATAGAAGGTTATCAAATGTCATCAACAAAGCGTTCTACGCGGCTGAGCTTCAAACACGATTCACGTCTAGCCCGCTGGTGTATCTACGGTTGAAGGATAGGGTGCCCGATTACGCTACTTCTTTCTGTATTTACTCTTTCACTTGTTCCTGTGGAGCAAAGTATGTTAGCCGCACGACCAGGCGTCTGTCTGAGAGCATCCGTGAGCATCACTCTGCGTGGTTACGAAGTGGAGCAGTTAAGTGGATCACAAGTGCGGTCGTGTTGCACCTTGTTGACACAAATCACATTGTAAACGTGCCCGACCCCTGGGACATTCTTCCCAAACTGAATCAGGAAAATGTTTGTCAAGGTGAAAATTTTGCTCCAGATTCAGGCACATATCATCCGATTTATCTTAACTTGTCAGGTTTTTCTGTAATTCGGAAAGTGTTTAAAATGAACTAAAGTTCAGTTGAATCAATGATAGTAGTTGTGCAGCTTAGTAGTCAGTTCACTGTTTTTTTACTTTCGTTATGTGACTGGGGGGAATTAAGCAAACACTTAACTTGAGATGGGAATGCGCTGAGGTTCTCAGGCCAATCCTGATTCCAACCAACCACATGTGTGGAGGGATGAACTTCGCTTTACTAGACCTTGTGTCATTTGGAAAAAGAGATCCTGTATAAAATTTCGGGACCACGGGTCTGAGTCCGTGCGGATCTTTGATACTGTGGTACTGGTAGGGTGACGATCTCAAGATTTCCTGTTATGCAACTGGTTTCGTCGAATGCCATGTTTATGAACAATTTAAAACATGGTGTACTACATCAGGAATATATTGCATTAAGGCAGTGCTCAACTTCAAGTTCGCATCTCAGGCACAATGTTCTTCAGATTTCCATAAACCAACGTTTTTCTAAACGTTTTTCTGGATGAAACTGCAGTTATGAGTCCAATAAACTTCAGATGTTATTATTATTATTGTTGTTGCGTTGGTACCATGCTTGTCTACAAGCCGGTGGTAAATATACAAATTAAAAATCTGTTGCTTTGTTTCTGCTTTTGATTGTCACAAAAAACTGTTGTTGTGTGTTGTGTGCTCAGTCTTCCATTCTTTTTCGACGCCGTGAAACGAGTGATTTGGGTGTGCACGGTGATAGGGAAATGATGAGACTGAAAACCAAATATCGAAAACCCTAATGATGATGATAATAATAATAATAATAATAGCACTCAGAAAAGGTTTCAAAGGACATGGAGTTAGACGGGGAACGAATTCATGGCAGAAAGTGATTGATGAAGAAAGAAATTTGTACTGAAGAAGATTAATTTTACCAGGAGAATCACTTACCGGAACAACTTTTGATATTTTCTTTGGCGTTGAGGGGGTGGTACTGTCTGAAAACATAGAAATTGAGAAGGGTACCCCAGGTCAAAATTAAGTAAAGGAGTGTATTTCCCTTACTTTATGGGCAGAACCAAAACGTGCAAGACGATACAAACGGCAGTTTATGATGAAGTCCGTATAGTGAGGTGAAGTTGGCATTATGGAATCAAGTATATGACTATGAAGCTCANCAGGTTTACTTATACATCTGGAAATAAAGATCCCAATTCAGCTTAAACTATCGTATGCCGGACTCAATGCGCTGTTGGAATTTTTTGATCGGGTTAGTGAAATATCGCGTTTTGACTTGGCGTACTTCCAGCACTGTTCATACATCTATCCGAAAGAACTTTACCTAGAATCATAGGACAGCCCATCACGCATTCTTATTTGGCAATCATCCTCCACCAACTGACCATTTGATTCCCAAAAACATTTTTTTCAGCCATCCGTGTACTTCTTGTTACAAAATCATCTAAAATCAGTCTGTGAATGAAATTTGTTAGTATTAGCAGTATAGAACGCACAAAACCCCTTTGGAATCATAGTAATGACTCATAGAAGGTTTCAATTAAACCTCTGGCAGAAATACCTGTCTGCTATAAGATTTAAACGCTGTCACAACCCTATATTCCTGTCGTTGAATGCTCGCTCTACTGCTCCGTTAAATAACACATGTTCGGTATTGCGGTCACATGTAATTCACTATTCCAAATACCAAGGTTACAGAGAGACTTGTGACAATGACTCGTTCAAATTCCACGGCTTACTAAATAGTGTTAAGCAACAGAAAAACTAAAAATGCCCAATAGTATTTTTTTTGTTCATCTCTTGAGATGACCACCTGGCATTTTTTATCAATTCAACTGCATATTGTTTCCAAGTTTCGACACAGTGCTGGTCAGAACGCAGTCCACCACAGTTTTTTAACAATCAGGGGCGAATTCAAAATTAATTATGTTCATGTTTCACATACTTCAAGCAGTGGAAGGTAGGTGCGGTTTGGACACTATTTTATCCAAACTAACGTCACCCGTTGCATATATATATATAATCTTTTCAGATAAATCAACCGCCATCTTCATGTCCACTCATTGGAGTCTAGAATATGCGGAATTCGGTAACCAATGGCTGTGTTAATTTCGACTATTGATTACTGATTAATAAATCCAGTATCAATAATAGTAGACCAAAGAAAAATGCATAAAACCATGGTTTTCAATCTGGAGATTGAACACTCTTATGGCAAACAAAATGAAAATTGTCTGTGCCTATTTCCTTCCATGAAATTTGCAAATGCGTGCAATATCAATTAGTTAGCATACTGAATAAGGGAATCCTGTTTTTTTTGTTCAACATTTCTACGAGGTATGTCCATTCTGACATGAAAATAATTCACAATTTCTGTGTGTTCAACAATATTTCCTCATTGAGTGAGGTGGCTATTGAAGCATCCTGTTGTAGTGAAAAAAAGCAATAATGAATTAAATGTTTTTTACCTCCCTTTTGGTTTATTGGTCATCCAAATGTTCAATAAACTTTCAGGAAGAAGGACGCGGCTATACAAAGGCTACCTAGGGAAATACAGCAATATAGTGGTTGCGCGAAGATACAGGCCAAATATAGAGCAGTATGCCGGATGCATCGTGCTATGCCGAAATAAACTGTGTCAGACTAGCAAGTACGATCACATTCTTGAGAACGTTTATTAGCTTTTGTGGGAAATAGACGTAAGATTGTTTTTGTGATTGAACAATTTACGTCAAAAGATAAAGAAAGATAAGTAAATGCCCTCGCGAGTACAGCATTCACAGCCCGACTAGCTTGTCCGCTGTTAAACCTGACAAGTTGTCCGATTTGGCATTATTAGGTAAACTTAACAGTCTGGGAACTACATTGGAGATTCATTCGAGCGTCGTTAACAAACAAAACAAATTGCGAAGAACACGGAGGAAACGTTTGCATGAATCGCTCGATCTTAAGTTATTTCAAAGACGTTATACTTTTGTCGTGCTTACCAAAAGATGTTTGGGCTTCTCGTAAAGCAATTTCCAGCCGATCCGCGACGCTGATAACCTCGGCCTGAAGTTTTTCAATTCTAAAGGATTGAGATGAAAATGGAAAGATCATCTGAGTAAAAGCATTTGATTTTCAATTTTGAGTAAACCTTTCAACCAAAACTTTCTCAGCATTTGTGCCGCGTTATAAAATGGCTCGGTATTTGGTGAAAATCTTTTTACGAAAAAGAAAAACAAATTCGGGGCTATGGAGGAACATTATAATGATGAGTAAAAATGAAAAGGTGACTGTCAAATATAGTATACAATATGCGTCTTTTATCTTCGGTGTCAATAATTCGTTTGCATACGACTTTCTCTACACACTCTATAGATGAGAATGTGCCCAGTTAGAGGATGATACAGGTAAAAGCGTTCATAATCCTGTCTATTCCTTTCCTTAGTGTGATCGTCAAGTCACCGGTGGCAGGACCTTCTGATCGCATATGCAACCTCAATGGGGGTGTAAATTCACTCTGACTGGACAGTGGTCCCTCGGTGAACCCTGAGCGTCGTAAATCGTTCCACTATTTCGCAAATCAGATTTTGGCTGATCGAAGCCTTCGATTATAAATCCCTGGCTAAATCGCCTGTTTTGACTCGGCAAACCGGTCAGTATTGCATCGCAAATACATCCTGCATCAAACCTCATTCCTAAAACATTCATACACCATGGTTTTCTTATCACACTGTATTAATCCAGCTCATTGTGGGATATGCACGGTATTTCACTGCGAAGCTCCTACGGACACGCCAATATTACAGTGCGTTTCTTAATCATCAAAGTAACATACAGTAAACTTAAAAAGAAAACTAAAGAAATTACTACCTTTCGAATGTAATTATTTCCAGAGTTCGGGCCCATCCCATAATTGACATTAATTGTGTGAAAACGTACCACCTTATCAAGTAAGACAATAACTCTACTGGACAGACTGTTGAGTGAACGCATGCGCCAATGGAATAACGTTGATAGTGCACGGAGAACAAACAATGCTTGGGTGACATATATATATATATATATATATCTTATTACCGGCTTGCGAACAAGCGTGGTACCAACGCTACAACAATTGTAACATGGAGTTAGGCAATTAAATGATACATACACATTCAAGAGTTGATTGGATATAGTCAGATCTCAACTACATCAGTTATCAGTCTCCCCTGTTATTTTAACCGTATGAGAATAATGAAAATAACTCGGAAACACCAGAAGTGGATACAGCTGTCTTACAGTCGTGGAAGAATAACAAGAACAAGAGACCAAAAGAACTTGTGACCCATGCGCAAACCTAGACCAGAAAGTGATTCTGATAGAAAATATAGCCTCTACATAAGCTGGATTTCCAAAAACTGGTAGACAAGACCCAACAAAATCTTCGCCCAAATTCTTCCCCCAGGAAACCACGATACGGTCGACTCATCTAACATTTCGTACCCCAACGAGTTTCTGCTTCACTATCAATTGCATCGCTTCCACACCAATTCCTAAGGTTTCCTCAGAGAATTTCCAGAGGTGGAACTACGTTGCCAACTGGTCAATGAGAAATTATTGCGATTACCGAACCTTGAGCGACAATCGCCATTCTGGACCCAGAATTATGCATACCACTCACTGATACTTCAGAGAACACTCGGTGCTACTCATCAGTGGTCGATCGAAAATGACATCAAATTCAGTGCATCAAAATGTCGTATTCCCTTCTCCACAAAACTCGGTTTCCGCAATTCCTGGGATATCAACATCTCCTGTAAACCTCAAATGAGAAGGATCCAGGCGGTCTTGTTCAGGATGACAAAATTCGTTCTGTAAACTGCTCAACGGTGTTATCCCCCTCTGAAAGATATGTTGGTTTGCTAAAGCGAGTATTTGGCAAATTCGAACTCATGCCGTTCCCGCTTTTTCATGAGCCTACATTCAACTCCATCATAGAGTACGCCATTCAAGTGTGGAATTAATGGCTGCAATACAATTGTAAGATTCTGTTTTCTTTATTCATTTTACGTCCTTTTATTGAATACACAATTATACAATTTTCAGGAAGGGAGAAGCGGCCAATCAAAGGGCTGCCATACAACACACAAATGGGAAAGTCAGGCGGTGGTGGTGGGATTCGAACACTCATCCTCCGGGGTGATAATTGGGTGACGTTACCACCGGGACACCACCGCCCACAAACCATGGCCGCTAAAATAGTTGAGAAACTGCATTCCAAGGCCTATGTGGGAAAACGAAAATCACTGGGGTTGTACTCCACACAGTATCGTCGAATTCGAAAGGGACTCGATTGTGTTGCATCAAATAATGCAGAATTCTGATCACCCATGTCGTTCACTGTTCGCCTTGCTGTCCAGCACTCTCTTCCTGGGGCACTCACTCTAATTAGTGATTCAAAACTGTCGACTAGAATGCAGGCGTCATTTATCAGCCCTCAGAGTGTGCAGTATTCAGAATTCTCCAGCATCTCACTTTGTTTCTATCCCCCAATGAATGTTTTCAAGCAAGAGCATGATGAAGCATTGTATTGTCTTAAATTTTGACATCCTTAGCAAGGCACGAAACAAAGAAAATTAGTAAAATTCCTCATCTTTCTATGAACCGTAAATCGATCAATTTGTGCAAAAAGTCCTACATGAAAAGCCACCACTCGTGAGTATTTTCCACAATAAAACTTTGAATTTAACTTGAATCATTTTATGTTCAAGTCAATGCAGTCATGCATTCCAATTAGCCAGTTTGCCGAACTTGGCAATTTGTTTGTAAAAATTTCATCGCCAGTCGAGGTGACATCACCAGTGCTTGTAAAGTGGCAGACTACTGGAATTAAGCACATTCATTCAAACTTGGGAAAAGATAACGGGTGAAAATATCCACACACATAGACAAGCACACACAAGTAAACGAGAGACACCGCCCTATCAGGTTACTGTTTTTATCAACTGTCGACCCAAATCCTGAATTAGGTTTATTGGTTACCTCCGTGAACGTTTATGTGAATGAATATGATGACTTTTTCTGCTTCATTTGCACGTGTGAATGTATTCGGTGAAGTTGAGTAAATATGGTTTTGTCTGGTAACTGCGCACCGCGACATATCTCTGATCAGAGGTAGACAGAAAAAGGACTTCTTAGTTGTGGTACTTTTCAAATCAACAGGAAAAGTGGTCAATATATCGCTCAATACCGCCGGCTTGACCCAATTGAGCAACTAAGATGACGATGGTTGCCATATGAACATTAGGTTACATCCAGACGGAGTGACTTCTCCGAGGACTGCCCTCACGGGAGGCATCTCTTAAAACATCTCCAGGAGGATTTCTACTTACTCTTTGGTAGCGGTGATGTATTTATCAAAGTGAGGAGATGAGAAATCATTATGTGGAACTTTAAACGGGCTGACGAGACACTCGCAATTAGTTCAGTCAGGTAGCTCGAAAAAGCTGCTTCAAACCTCGTAAAAAGAAGTGTGAAAACCTAGATGTGGGCCATTCGAGTGGCGATATATGATACAAATATCGCAAATTAGTGATGAAGGCTTTAAAGTATTATTCAGTCAGAAGAGAATAAGCTAACTGCCTATACTTTCCTAAAACTGCATATGGTATTGAGTTCTTCTGTCCAAAGGATAATAAATACGTAAGAACCGCAAGCAAATCACTGATCTATATCAGCAAACACGGTTCTTATACACGCGAATGCTGGTGACTTCTCTTTAGATTGGTAATGTCAGAAGTGTATGATAGTTGTTGCACCGTAAGCCCACTTCTGGGTATAAAAAAACTGGTCACCATCCGTTTGCAGCTGCATGATCACGCTGAGGACAGTACGCAAAATGTGACCAGTGTTTTTGTATTCCTGTTAGTTTTTCATCTACGGAATGGGAGATCACGTATTTTATTTATTTTATTTTCAAACGGGGCATAGCAAAATACGATGTTTCAAAGACTGACCTTATTATCAAATGCAACTACCACCGGTGACATTATTCTATTCGAGAAAATAATCCGAAGTCTGTTTCCAATCAAAGGAACCCATCAATTTTTAATGGAAAGTTCCCTGTAGACTTGAAAACAACCAACGAAATTTTGAAAAGAAACCCAACTACCTATGGTGTGACTCACCTAGACTTTATGGACGATATTCCCGCGTCAATAGTCATTTCCTTTACTTGTTTCGACTTGCGCAAAAAGTTCCGTTTGCAATTGGTCTCAAATTGCCGTGCAATTCGCATGTCTTCGTCATCGTCATCAATTGCAGCTAATTTGCCCATTTTTAGCATAAAATCAGACTTTCCCGGTGCATCGGTAGATACATGGGTCAGGTCAACCGCATTGCTGAGTTGTCGTGAGTTTCGTTTCCCGACAAACTGAAACAGCTGAGCTCCCTCATCGTTCTGATTTTCCTTTGCGCTCTCATCGGATTCTGTGATTAGATCGTCCCCGAGTTGTGCGCATCCCATTGTGATGGTGCTCTGAATGTCTGTGGTCTTGTTCGCGATTTGTTTGACTCCTGGAATGAGTAAACGGACGGGGAAAAATTCAATACTTCACACAATCGAATGGATTTGGAATCCAGAACCGGATGGCTCTTAAACGAACCAACACAAGACAGTTAGTGTTCGTGTGTGTGTTACGAAAGTAGCAGTAAACTGAACATGATATGGTGCTTAGATTGTTGTGCCAGCAAGCGCAATGCAGTTGGTATGTGTGTGTGTGCTATACAGCTTTTGACAATTAAAAACGTAGAAACCAAAAATAACAAAAACAATATGTATTTACTCAAAACAAGAAAAAAAGTAAATTGTGTGAACTCACTCTATCAGAGATTTCTAAATTTAAGTCAGGTTTTACGGCAAAATGTTTCAGAACACAATCTGCAATCCAGAAATCGATGAAGCACACCATGCTTCTTGACAGTTTAAGGATATTGAGCAAAATCTGCGCTAAAATACTCCGGACGCTAGGGAATCACTGTACTTCGTTCAAAAGCATTATACTTACCGAAATCATCTTCTAAGACAGAAAATGTGGCAATAGATTTGGTCACCCATATTCCATTAAGAGAGGGTGTGATCAAGCCCCCCCAAAGCATTTCTGACTCTGTGGACATTTTATGCTGGTTTTCAAAATACCGATTATTAATCATTGTGATTCGCGTCTACGCAGCACTCAAATGACATTAGTCGCACTGACTAGATGGAAGCATTTTTAGCTGCTATTAGTGACACAAAAATGACCACTTAAGTCTTGCAACGATTCACAATACAGACTGGTATATCACATTAATAAACACGTCCAAACTTCTTTCTCTTTTTAACATCAGTGCTCTAGATGGGGAAAGGTATATCCAGGGAAAAATAAGCACGAAGCTTATTTAACGTCCATAGGGAACTTCAGTACGGTCACCCAGAAATTAAAGTCAATAAATGTCATGCTAAAAGGGAGACAAAAGAGAGAAAAAGAAAACAACCGAGACTGTTTGGTAGATAAGTTCCCAAAGTTCAATAAAATGCCTAATTAAATTAGACTTATAAAGAGTAGTCAAGAAGGTAACGTCAGTTTTACTTTCGATTCCGAGCAATTTACAGTTCAATAAGCAATGTTGATTTGCGTGACGCTTTGCAAGAGCAACGTTTCTGCAGCATTTTATTTTCAGTCTATATAACCATTAACCACAGGATTATTTGCGGCGATTTGTGATTGATTACTTTTGGTTACCCATTTCAATGAATGAGCAGATGGAGGGTCAGAATCAAATAGATGCACGAGATCCACAGTTTGCAAACCCCGCCAGATCATTCATTGTGTGTAACCACCGGTTAATCAGATTCCGAGAACCCCAACCGGGATGTAGCTTGTTGGCCAGCCTGATACAGTCTGCGAACATTGAATATAGCCAAACGGAAAAGGGATTTTGGTTTAATCCATATTTGAACTTCCGCTTCTGCTAGTCACACTGCTAGTCAAACACCGAGTGATATCCAATAGGTGACATAAACAGGATGCATCTGGTATGAGTTGAGAGAAATAAGAGGGTTTTTCAAGTAGGTGTTTGAGACTTTAGGGCATGACATACATCGAGGAAGTTCTCACCGACCAAGATAATCGGTGCAACGGCTATTTGCAAGACATTTCCGGTCACGATAACATTCTATCGTAGTCGACGTTAGTTATCAGCAGGTGAATAAAGCAGAAGGTGTAACAAGGTTTGAAGAAATAGGTTAAAAAAACAAGTGTAACCACGAGGTGTTGGTAACAACCTTTTGACCACTTTGGAGAAAAGTCCAGAATCCATTGTTGTTAGAAAACTTTATGAATGTAACCATATACCGTGTAAATTCATACGAGTGGAGTAAAGTTTTCCAAGAGAATAGAAAAGTTGTCACCAATACCGCGTGGTTTGGTTTTATTCGTAGTGGATAAAAGCAACCTATGTTCGTTAAGCATCACTAGGTAAACGTCCCATTTTTGTTTACCAAGATCCGTTTCATACGAATCTCTCTCCCAGTATCGTACGGCCCTTGTATAAATGAAATCTGATAAATTGTCTGTCAAAAGTCAAGTGAGCAGTGTTTTTTCTTCCTTTTTTCACCACAACCATCAATCATATCCCGGAGAGTTGAATCAGCTCCGGAATGATTTGCAGCTTCCAGTTGGGCAGACCGCAAAAAGTAATCCATGAAATAATTGCGAGTTGACCCAGGTAAGTAACATTAAGGTAAAATAGTAATAACTGCATTTCAGAGAAAGGCAAACCAATAATAGATTTTCAGTTTTTGATCAAGAACATGTTTCCAGCAAAAATGTACCATTCTAATATTTTACTACTGATGGATGCCAGTTGAAGTTCAGTCAAGCTCGAATGTTAGCACCCTGAACGTGTCTTTCCTTTCGAATTGTTTGATCAAGTTATCAAGTCTACACATGACTGTTTAGGAGGTTTGGTTTAATGATCTCGCAATGAAAACAAGGCTATAAAAATTATTTTATTTGCCAAAGGCTTAATTTTCCTGTATAGCTATATATGTTTGATTGCACTTCGTTAGTTTATTTTACGTTAACTGGATTTATATCCGCAAATGATACGATACTTCTTCAGACACTGCGATCAAGTGAAGATGAAACTGGTTCAGGATTCTCGTTCGAAGTAGCCAAATTTGTCGTCAGTGGTTAAGGATACGTACAGAATTGATTTGGAATCCCATGAAACGCTAAACCGGAATTCTTGGTCAATGGATGCTCCATGCAGTAAGCATCAAACCCGCACACTTTATTTGAAGCATTGCTAATCGCTCGATTCGACCTGGAACTGCTCAACAGATGCAATACGCATGGATCTGCTAACCAGACAGGACGCAGACAAACCAGTATTGCTTACCATGAGCCACACCGGGACTGCGATTGCATAGTCGGACCAGAAATTGACAGAATTCGACCACTGCTTGAAATACGGACAGTGGGACTGGAGCCACGGGTTTCTTGTTGTACTCAACTACCAAAGCATACATGTTAAATTTCCATAATTCGATTGAATTGTCTTCAACCTGTTGGAACACGTTGCTACAGTGGAGAAGACGGAAAATGTGTTTGCGTGAAATAAACTGTATTATAGTTCATTATGGTTCGACATTTTAATACATGAGTTAGAGGAATCTTTATGATGTTTTGAACCCATTTCAATAATTATTACTTTAGGTGTGTAAACAACAGGTTTATGAAGATCGATTTATCATCCAGAGTCAGCTTATCGGTCAACTTTGAAAATAATAATCAGTAATCAGCATAGCATGTTCCGGATGGCATTCCAACCTAGGTAGGAAGATATGGTCAATGAACGCTTTAATAATGTGAAGTATCTGAGTGGGTCTGCAATATAATCCTTCAAGCCAAAACCGGACTAGAGGAGAGCTTACCAGTGTTTCGACACGGATTAAAAAATGCTATCTTCTGCATGCTGAGCACGACAGGCTCATGGTTCATGTCAACATTAGGCCCGGTCCTGGAACCGATGATTTTCTTTCATTTACGAAATAACTGGGTGATTCAGCTGGCATAGGACAGTGCGCAAATGGAACAACAATGTTGATGGAAGATAATGAAATCCACATACAGTCTTATGAGGATTCATTGGAACCGAGAAATGGTGACAAGTTGGCAGCAAATGCAACCCATTACGACACACGAAGTTTGCGGAATTGGGGACGGAAAATTTACTCCTCTCCTGTCTACGAATTCGATAGGTAATCATTATATCCTTATATCATTATATCCCGGAAGTTAATGACTAACTAGCATTAATCGTTCTGTTTTCTCAGTGGACGAGGACTTATAGTTCAGAATTTGCTTTACATCACTGTACTGTAAAATGCACAAATATCCTTTTTAAAATATACTCTAATGAGAATGGAATGATATAAAATAGGTATCGTTTATTGGTGAAATCACACATGCAACCAAAGCATTCCGGTGGCGGTTCTTGGTACGACAGTGCGTAATGGATCTTCGGATATAAGTATAAGTGTAAGTCGCACAAACCAACAATCCAGGTTGGATAAAATGAACAAAGAAGGGCATAGAGTCTCGGTNTAATGGTGGAGCAACCGCGAATGTCCGTCGCACTTGGCTTCATTGGTATTTGAGAGACTGTAGCCCAAGGGTTTCTCTTCGTCACCAGTGCGCAACGACCTTTGCTATCAATTGGTTCAAACATCCATGGCAAATATATGATTTCAGCAGAATACAGTTGGACGGCAACGAAGCTTAAAACTAGTTTTTGTCGGGATCATTAGCTTCAGTTGCAGATCATAACTTATCTGTTACTTCGATGGTCTCAGAAGAAAACATAATTTGTGGCATCGTACAAAATAATGTTGACACGTCCGGTGCTTGAGTATTGTGCAAAGAATATACAGTAGGTAATTTTTCTTGAAAATGTATCTCCCCGCATTATAAACAGGTAAAAAGAGCTTGAAAGAAGACAGGAATAGAACCAAAAGATATTCGGACAGATAGTCATTGAATTACTCAAGAATCTTAAGCGAATACTGAATCGATATTCAAAAGAAAACCTGTATGGAAGAATTAAAAAAATGAGAAATAACTAGCTATCTCTCAAACAGAAAATGTTAACCAAGGATGTAAGGGTCTAATACTAAATGTCATATTTCGGGAACAATATGACCTAAATATATATCTTTATTTCAAACACTGAAATGCGTCTTTGATTCAATAGCAGGCGAGCACTTTGTGTTCAAGTAAGGTAATCAATAAGAGCTTTTATTGACTGCAGGTTACCTGAATATAGCGATCAAAAGATTGATGAGCAGAATTCCAGCCAGTAACAGATATATGGCTAACAACAATGGGACGACGAAGTTGTATTGAGGGCAAGTGATTCCATCCCCATCCCCAGAACAGTTGTCTTTCTGGGCTATTACGTCATGGTCCAGGACGGCGGCAGAGATGATAAATCAGGGAACCAATGAAGAGTGGATAGGAATAAAATTCTCATTCAAACGCGTTCATAGCAAAAAACCAGCACAACAAAATCAAGTATATGTGTAGAACTCATGAGCCAAATCTCACACACAGGATATCAGGCTTTAAGGATGATTCTGAGGTTGAAACTTGGTTACGTTTGGCAAAATTCATCATCTAGGCAGTGAATAAATGACTAAAGGCCTGTGAAGTCGATAGCAGAACGAAAAACAGTTTATTCAGTCGCCCGATTGTACTTCTCCCAAGAAACGACCGAACATGCATCAAGTGAGTGCAGAATTTTCCCTTGAAGAGTTGACTACCAATCACTAATTTGGAAGCTATATGTTATAGTATTGACATTTTACCCAAATACTCATATAACTTGAAGTAATTCTTGCTAGTGCATACCGTAAAGTCTACATCATTTGTCGACAGTAGACATCTTTCCTGGATCGTTTAGTATTTAGCATGCAGCTCAAAATATACCATACCCTAGCATTCCAACCAAAATGGATTATTTTCCCAAAAAATGGTTTTCCGATAGTACACATTCACACCACGGAATCATGCGAAATCGCGTAAGCTATGGTTTTATGCTACCACTACCACTACTACTACTACTACTACTACGTTATATTGTGATAAATTGCAACAGAATTGGTAACCGCATCCCCATTTGAGTTGGATGACATTTACGGAACGGGATTGATGCATCATGTAAGAGCAACCAATCGCATATGACACCAAAACCTCTTTCGAGGATTACACCGCCTTATTATTCCCGTGAAGACATTGCAGATGCACTCGGGTTTAAAGTTTAACCAAAATCGAACTCGTCAAGCATCAAACTGTCAAAATGAGCATCATGTCAATGTCAAGGGAATAAGGGGCCTATTTCAAACAAACTTTGTTTGGAAGAGCACAAAAGAGGTACAGAAATATGCTACCCATTTTATGACAAATGTTTTATTGTAGAATAAATTGAGGATTCCATTTTAGGTATCTTTTTTCAACTTATCGTCTTAAGGTTGCATTTGGAATCACAAACGGAATATCAGTGAAGGAGGGTGATCCTGTAATGCTACTCGTTCACTACACATTCATTTAAAATCAGCTTCGTGACCTATTCTTATTGCATGATATGCGAAAGCGAATGAGGCTGTTCCGACCCATCTCCCATCTTTTCTGTTCAAATGGTCGCATCGAGGAACGTGGTCAAACAAAGTCGTTTTCGACATCAGAAATATCAACCGACCCCAATAACTACGTGAGTGAATCACTTAATACTATCCGTTGCTAACTCCTCAATAAATTTGGCCCATCCAAAAGCATGTGTTAGCCTCCCTTTATGATAATGTGGATAAATGAGCTGGGTGAATAACTTGCCAATGAGGAAGCGTTCACACCAGTAATTCGCAATCAGACAGTATTGACAATGAAAGAAACAAAATAAATGTATCGAATTGGGTTGCTGCAGTAAAATGAGCATCGTGTTCAGCTCCTGTGCTGCATGATTCGGCGGACCGCGATACATCTGAGTGCTCCACGTGTAGAGTAAACAAATATTAATGCTATTTACCTTTAGGTTTCATGATTTCCATGAGCAAACATAATAATGGTTAGCCTCTACCCCCTCTGAACATTTGGTGGATAGCAAATAATTGTAAAAGGTTCCAGGGTGGTAGCGGCAAAATAATTCAAACACTATAACCGGTGTGATTTGGACAATATGGTCCGAGGTTCGAGCCCCGCCACCCCCACCCGACATTAGTGGTGGGCAGCTTCGCGGTCGTCGGGTGCAATACCACGCCTAACGAAGCACATGTGATTCGCCACTTCAAGTACAGGGGCTTAGGTTACCGGTTTCCTGCACCGAATAGCAAGTTCTCGTGCTTACGCCGTTTATCCCATCTGCTGTTCCTCACGTCAAAAAGTATGCTTAAAAAAGTCGTTTGTTTTTCAAAGAGTTGCAATTCAAAGAAGCGTCTCACAATTACGCTTATTTCTCGTCAATGACTTGCATGTATTAGACGAGATTCCATTAAAGTAATAAATACCCCACAAAGCAAAGATCATCGGGATAGCCGGACATTTGTCAAATCCGAGGAGGTAAATACCTGTGGAAGGGACCCTCGGAAAATAGCTGAAATCATAGTGAGAACACAAAACAAGTTGTTAGTATCTAATCGCCGTCGGACTGATTCATGTAGAATTTTTGTTTGTTATTGCCGTTGAAATAAAACAAGAAAATCTCTCAGTTTCCACTTACTGTATCCGAACGGAACTCATTTCCACTTGCTTCCCATCTTGCTATCTGTGGACTAAAGCTGGCATCTTTCCTGTGTTTTATATTTCACTTGTGGTTCTGGTGCCAAATTTAGCCGAAGTATAGCGGCTTAAATTTTATTTCTCACGTGATTTTTTTCAAATCATCCATTTCTTCTTCTTCACCCTTACCAACTCCTGAGACTGATGACAGTTCCTCTCATCTGGTTTCTCATTGTCATTTGTTTCCACAAACAGACATCATTGTGTTCTTGAACCACATTCGGATGCAGTTCTCACATGGAAACCGCATTCTTGTGCAAATCGATAACTTGTATTTGTTTCTAAAGCCTTCCTTCTCAATCAGTCTGCTGATTTCAACTTTGATACTGTGAAATTTGCAACAAAAAGAAACAATGAACCTAAGGCCTTTAATGTCTACGTATATTGATCCTACGAGATGTCAATAGCAGTCTTAAATAACAGAGAGCACACTCAACACAGGCAAAACTCCTGAATATCCACTGACACAAAGATTTTGATGAACTCTTATAAAACCCCTGGATAGATCACAGTGTTCATGCAAACTGACCAAAGAAGGAAATACAAGATATCTTGAGCACATAAGTGAGCGGGATAAATGACCTGATACTAGTTTTCACTATAAGGAGATGATACGTTTTGGAGGTTTCAATGGCAAATTGGTCGGAACTAAGACAGAATGGGAATAAACTTTGAAAATATTGATAGAAGCTGGGTAGGAGCACAGACAAGTGAACACAATTCGGGCGTCGGAAGAACTACTGGTTTGAATATTTTCGGAGTTTCGTCAAACAGCAAACCAAAATAGTGAGATCAGTGGTATGCGTGATTCTTATAAACTTAGCCATCGAATCTCTGTTGTGTACTGCCAAAACCCACCTCCAAATGTGACCGATCCACAACCATTTTATTGGAGCTGAAAGCCCCGATCTGGGCTGCAATGTGCTTCAAGTTTCTGTGGCCGTTGTCAGTCAGTAAACTAATTATGAGCGAATCAATTTGACATTCACACATTTCGGAAAGAGATGTCTCCAAATCGCTTTTGTGGAAAAAGAAAGTATTTTCAATTTAATCTCAAATATGACCGGACAAAATTGAGGAGAACAAAATCATGTAAAAATGTAATTGTCCTTCCTAGCTTTTACTGGTAACGTCAGCATGTTTACGAGCTTCCTTTCCCGGTTGTGGTCAACAGCTGGTTGACGCCATTGCAAAGCAAATAGTGTCCACTTATGCGCATGCCAAACACGGCAGATAATTATCGCGTCAATTTTGGATTTCAGCGGAGAACAAAATCAAATGTGTGAAACAGTCTACCGCAGCTTGAATCTTGTGAGTGGGAGCATTAGCAGACAATGCAGTAGTATATATGACGATGGCTTGCTTATAGAATGGTACAACAAAAACAATAAGCATTATTCGCCAGTCGGAGAATAGCAAATTTGCTTAACCAAATAGTGATGACTGCAGTGCAAACCAAACCAATTGACTGTCTCGGCCCTCCGGTAGAGTTGAAAGGGGAATCGAGGAAACAAAGCGTACACTAGTGCATAATACTGGAACTGTTAAAAACAATTTTTGTCTGCTCACTATCATAATAAAGAAATGTGAAACAGCTATTTTGATGGAATTCCCAGCAATCGAGTAAATGTGTATTAAATTTTCGTTTCATGAAGTAAAACCAGTTTAGAATTGTGTTAAAGGATGTTATCTTAAGAAATTACTGCACTCGATACTCTTCTCAAAGAGAGACTATGGTGGTGCGGGCGAACATGCTTGATTTTGTAGCTCTAAGTGCTCACATATTTTTACATAGTGCGCTTGGAGCAGCATATTCCGCGAAAGCAGTTTATCATGATGAGCTGACAGAGTCGCATATTTTTACATTCGGATTCAGTTTTGGTACAGCTGCTTCATAACTAGATGCTCCTCCAATAAAAATGTGTGTACCACGTAGTTGTGATAACAAGTCAAATGAGATCCGCTTCGCTTGTTTGGCATTCAGTCTGAAATCAGACGCGTGTGAAATAAGTAAAATGGAATTTTCGGTGTAGCTCAGTCAATAAAAAGCGATGGGTATTCTGCTCTGCAACTTCTACGGAACACGGAGATTAGCTGTAGTATATTTTATCAGTTACATAACAATAATTTATTTATTTGTTATACTTTCGCTTATTTTAAGGAAAGCTTCGTGACGGTGAGCTCGTTACACAAGTGTCTAAACTAAGTTGATGATTCACACTATAGACATTCCAACCGTTATTGTATGCCCTACCTTTTCAGTGGATTATAGACTGCCCGATATCAACCAAGACAGCGTAATGTGCACACTAGCAATTCAGTTAAATGACCTTTTTGTGTCTAAGATTCCCTTTACCGTCGTTCAAGAAAATCCTTGTTTTATCACGATGCTATTTGTAACTTAACTATTCATCTAATACGCAGTTTAGGCTTACAATTCCTATTTCATTCAACATTCAATGGACGACACGAAACATCGCTCCCGAAGAATGGGAGCAAATTTTTCTAAAGATAGGTAAAATGAATGTTAGACTGATCCTAATGATAGGCATATATGAGCTTCTCCAGGCTTACCTTAATTCAATCATTTTTGAGGCTTCCGTTAGACTGTTTTACAACGTCGTCGTGATCATTTAGATTATTTCCCCATAGATTTATCAAATATCCACGGACAGAATGAACGGCTCTAGATAGACAATCTGTTGTCGCTACAACTACCACTGTCCAACAGTTCCACCTGGGTTACCATGCTTACTAGTATAGTCCTGCCAGTGCTGGGTTGGCTGTCCCAGTTTAGTTTCATATTGGGCCCTTCAGGCAGATTAATCAGCAATGACAGACGTGGGTCGAATAGGGACAGAACTTGCGTCAGTGTGTACAGTCAGTCCACACCAAATTTAGCCCCGGCGACCAAAGCCGAACCGAACCGAACCGAGCCGATACGAAAAAACGTCCCATTGCAGTCCTACTGGAATGCATGGCAAGGATCGCGCAAGCTGGTAGTCCACGCGCGCGCGTGCGTGCACGTTTTCAAACGTTCGCACGGGTTACTGAATACCTGTCTCCCGCATGCAAGTCTGTCTGTCATCCCTCTCGCCCACCTTGAGATTATTGATTGAAAAGACTGAACCAATCGCACGCACGCAGCTAGATAGGCACATCTTTCTGGTTAATAGAACGATAGACAGGGTCGTTTTGAACTCACTCTCAACAAATAGACGATTAATTGATTACGAACACAGCCGGTCTCAACGATGATAGGGTTATTGCATTGGCTTGAGCTGATGGAAATCAACCCAAAAAAATGAAATTTCGTGGTTGTTCTAAACACAGTGAATATGCATAATGTGGTCGAACATACCATACTTAATTTACTTCTGTCTAATCAACGATAACCGGCAATACATATGGACCGAATTGTTATTAACGCCATTTTGTGACAACCAGACAACACAGAAAAGATGACACAGACCAGTTGATTTTAAACTGTCGTGTTGGGCTGTGGTGGCCCGGTGGTAACGGCACCCAATTATCACCCCGGGGATGTGTGTTCGAATCCCACCACCACCGCCTGACTATCCCCATTGTGTTGAATGGCAGCACTTTGATTGGCCGTTTCCCCCTTCTTGAGAGTTGTACCATTGCATATTCAATAAAAGGATTAAAAAAGAAAAAAAAGGTTGTTTATTAATCTGAAGACAGCAGACGTAACAAGGATAGTTAAGGTATCAGATGGTTCAGTGATTCAAAACACAGTTCGAATGTTTAACATTTGCCCTAATTAAGGTCCTGCTTTAGAACTGGAGGTCATTTGGAGATGAGTTTACCTGAAAAGTATTAGGGCTCCGGCCCGGATGGGCTTATTTTATTGGTTTTAGTCTTCGGTAGAAATTTGTTGTTCCGTCACCATAGCAAGGAATAATAATTTTGTATGAACCTCAGGGGCATTATGCTCCGTCTATTGTCTGCCATAGACGAACAGTGTAAGCGCGACGATAAAGTTTGTTCCAAACCCTGATTAAGTTTGCATCGACCGTATTTTACTATTTGCGAAATTCTCGAGAATTGGCATGCGTTCAATAGACTCACACATTCTATCTATCTCGACTTGAAAGCGGTTTCTGACTCAACCGAACAATCTAAACGGTGGTGCTGCATTTCTTTGAAGTGTGTGCCCAAGAAGCTAATTTCAATGTAACGATCTCTTTGCACTAACAGTCGAAGCCGGTTTCCAACTTACGGCAGGTTTTCGCTGCAGTTCAATCAGAAAGCTGTGTTTGCTACGGCTGCCCTTCTTTGCTCTCCTTTTATATATTCAAATTCGTCATACTTTTGATTCTGTATACAGCCACGTTTGATATGGATTTTTCACCTTTGGAGTGTAAAATGTAATTACAGAATTGAGTTGATCCAACATTTGGTTGTATTCTGATAGTAGAAGTAACAGAGAAAGTGTAAAATATTTTTTATTTAGGCAGCCACATCTCACCCGATGGAAGCTTCAGGGATGAAGTGCTAGCAGAAGGCTAGGTTAGAGCTTGTCAATATAAGAGATCCATGGCGCAACTACGATGTTTGACAGTCCATGAAGACCCCAATGTTGACTGTAGCTGCCTACTTGGTGCTGCTATGTGATGCTCCAGATTGATCATCACATGATAAGGAAGAAAATATATTGTAAGTGGTCAGTTGTCCTATATACAATTTTGGTGAGGCTAAGAGACGAACAGTACCGAGGTCATGGCAGGAGTTGGAATAATAACATTCTTAAACTAAAGCAATTGTTTCCCACCATATATTGTGGTATTTGGCGTGAGTTATGTAAGGCTTCCTGATGTCCAGTGTTTACTGAGGCAGGTAGTCTTTGGAGAAGGTTATAGGTGGTCAGCAAGAGACCCGGGATGACTGCATGGAAACCTGAACAAGGTTTTCGATTATACAAATTGCATTACAAATCCTAGTTGAGGAAATCGTGACCAACCTAACCCCCAAGTGAAGACACTGACTGATGTGAATGAGTATTGTAAGAAATGGAGCTCGTGCAGCAACAGAACCTCTGTGCAGATTAGTTGATCGCACTCATGCTATGCTCTGACCACCATTCAGATATGCTTCATGCTCAGGAAGTTTCTTCTGCTGTCATATCAGTAATCTGGATTTTCCCAAAAAAGTAGCAAACACATCTACCTGATCATAAATATTTTCAATACTAAATCGATGGTCGCAACATCAGTATGGAATGGACTCATTGACGGAAGACACTGACTGGCAATTTCAAGCAAATCAATAATAAAAATGTGAATGCATTATTCGAATGTGTATGATTTTATGACCCATCAGGTTCGCTTGCTCATACAGCCGTAATTCGCAGCAGTGGCAGAGTAACTGTCAACTTAAAGAAAATCCCCCTTTGGTTTTTAATCGAAAAATAGCAAATAATTAAATAAGATTCTTAAAGTTTAAGTGCAAACTAATTTTTGTAGCTAAATGTTGCATGTAAACACCTTTAGAATGATTCAAAAGAGTTTCTTATTGGTTTTACCGAATGACTGTCGTTATGACCAAAATGAAATATTGACAATGACATCTTCATCATACTTATTGTCTTATTTATCGGCAACATTATCATTATCATCGTAGTCGTCACCCTCATCATTGACATCAGCAGCATCATTACGCAACAAGGAGAGACGAAGGGCCGTAACTCCTCAATGTTGTCTGTTCAACTGCACTCACAACCAGACTGCATTCTATCACGACGAGACTGCACCTTAACGTGGTGTGATGGCTTGCGTGCCTCCATGACCCTGCGAGCTACACAGGATGGCTTTTCACAGCCGAAGATCCAATCATGCCTGAGAGAGCAACGGGTACAGGCCAGACGAAGATCAGTCTCACAAAGCCAGCTGTTTGGGCACCTCCTGGCTTCCTTTTCTATCCACACCCTCCCCTAGAGAAGTCACTCCCATAAATAAACAAGGTGAGGGCAGTTTACCGGTCAAAAAACTTCGTTAGATGGGCGTAGGGACGGGGTACCCGAGGCTTCCTCTGGACGAGGACAGAAGTCTTCGCAATTCATTGAACAGTCTGTCTGTGAAGGGTCGAGTGTATGCTGCAGCAGTCCGGCGAGTTCCGCTCTACAGTGCAGAGACTTGGCCTTTACGAGAACAGGATAACAATAGATTATCGGTGTTCGAACACCGCTGTCTACGTCGCATTGAACCAGTCCGGTGGGAAAACCGGACGAGCAATGCTGAGGTTAGGCGTAGAGTTTTAGGCATTAGCGGTCGTCCACTGAAGCAAGTGATCGCCCTTCATAGATTACGCTGGTTGGAACATGTGTTACGCATGTCATCAGAGAGGTTGTCGCGGCGAGCGGTGTTTGCCAAGGTTGGAAGCGATTGTAAAAAAACAAAGGGCGCTCAAGCTAAGACCTGGCATGAGGGTATGAAAACCCTAACCAGGAGACCAGGTCACATAGGTCCCATTAGGCTCCCTGACTGGGGACCTCGGGATGATGGTCACCGATGGTTAGCTACACTGAGTGATATGGCTGGGTGTCGCAAACAGTAGCGCTCGTGCATCCACTCGTTATTTTCCTAACACCACTCTATATG